GCAGTGGCACAATCTTGGCTCACTGCAGTCTTCGCTTCCTGGGTTCAGGTAATTCTCCTGTCTCACCCTGCCAAGTAGCTGGGACTACAGGCATACACCACCATACCGGTCTAATTTTTGTATTTTTTGTAGAAACAGGGCTTCTCCATGCTTCCCAGGCTGGTCTCGAACTCTTGAGCTCAAATGATCTCCCTGCCTCAGCCTCCAGAGTAGCAGGAATTATAGCGTGCACCACTGCACCCGGCCCATTTTTGCATTTTTAGTAGGGGCGGGGTTTCACCATGTTGGCCAGGCTGGTCTTGGACTCCTGACCTCAAATGATCCACCTGCCTCAGCTTCCCAAAGTGCTGAGATTTTAGACGTGAGCCACTGTGCCCGGCGTATAGGTTATCCTTTTACTTGCTTGATAATGTTCTTTGTAACACAAAAGAGTTTTTAATATTGGTGAAATTCAGTTTATCTGTTTGTTTTTTCTCCTGTTGCTTGTGCTTTTGGTATCATATCAAACAAAGCATTGTTTCATTCAAGGCCAGAGATTGACTCTTATGAAACTCCTATAAAATTCCTATGAGTTTTATATTTTAGCTTTTAACATTTATGTCTACAATCTCTTTTAAATTACTTTTTTGTGTTTGATATGAGAATTGTGGTCCAAGTTATTTTTTTGTTTTTTGGGGTTTTTTTTTGCTTGTGGATATCCATATCCATTGTCCCCACCTCATTTGTTGAAAAGACTATTCTTTCCTCTACCATTGTTTTTTTGTTTGTTTGAGACGGACTCTTGCTCTGTTGCCTAGGCTGAAGTGCAGTGGCGAGATCTCGGCTCACTGCAACCTCCAACTCCCAGGTTCAAGTGATTCTCCTGCCTCAGCCTCCTGAGTAGCTGAGATTACAGATGCACAACACTATGCTCGGCTAATTTTTGTATTTTTAGTAGGGACAGGGTTTCACCATGTTGGTCAGGATGGATGGTCTCAAACCCCTGACCTCGTGATCTGCCCGCCTCAGCCTCCCAGAGTGCTGGGATTACAGCCACCACACCCAGCCTTTAAATTGTTTAATTTAATTACATTTGTTGACATTTATTTTTCTTCTGTTATACACAGAAGCAAACATACAATACTTACTGTTCTGCTTCCTTTTGTTTTAAATACCATGTCTTAGAAATTACTGTATATGAGAGTACAAATATAATTCTCATTCCTTTTATTAGGTTCTGCTTGGTTCTGTTCTGCTCTTTTCTTTCCCTTTCCTTTCCCCTTCCCCTTTCCTCTTCAATTTGATTTTTCAGTTTTCAGTTTAGCATTGACTCAAGCAGGTGGAGGTGGCTTTGATGATAGAGCAGAGTGCACACAATTACGTGTGAGGACATCAAGGCCCAGAGAGGATCAGGGACTTTCTCAAAGCCACAGAACTAGCTAATGACAGAGCCATACTCGGAGTCCACTGTGAACCTTGGGTTTTTTTTGTTGTTTTTTTTTTTCCCTTAGGTGTTTAAACTAGTTCAGAGGTTGTCAAACTTGAGCATGCGTAAGAATCACCTTGAGAACTGTTAAAAATAAAGCTTCCTCCCAAGGGGTTTCATAATCTGCAAAAAAAAAAGACAACTATGTATACTTGTCCTTGAGAAGCAAACAGACCTATAGTCCTGCTTGGGGAACCCTCAGCAGGGTTGTGGCAAACCTGTTGGTTAAGGAAATGGCTCCTCACTCTTGCTGCCCAGGCTGGGGTGCAATGGCGCTATCTTGGCTCGCCGCAACCTCTACCTCCCAGGTTCAAGTGATTCTCCTGCCTCAGTCACTCAAGTAGCTGGGATTATAGGTATTGCATCACCATGCCTGGCTAATTTTTTGTATTTTTAGTTGAGACGGGGTTTCTCCATGTTGGTCAGGCTGGTCTTGAACTCCCAACCTCAGGTGATCCACCTGCTTTGGACTCCCAAAGTGCTGGGATTATAGGCATGAGCCACCCTGCCCAGCCAGGTTATTTTCTTATTGAATTATAAGTATGGTTAGACGCCATGTGCAGTGACTCATGCCTGTAAATCCCAGCACTTTGGGAGGCCAAAGAGGGTGGATCTCGAGGTCAAGAGAACAAGACCATCCTGGCCAATATGGTAAAACCCTGTGTCACCATGCCGAGTGTGGTGGTGCATGCCCATAATCCCAGCTACTCTGGAGGCTGAGGCAGGAGAATTGCTTGAACCCAGGAGGTGGAGGTTGTGGTAAGCCAAAATCACACCAATGCACTCTAGCCTGGGCAAAAAGAGTGAAACTCCATCTCAAAAAAAAAAAGAAGCTGGGCGCACGATGACACACGCTTGTAATCCCAGCACTTTGGGAGGCCAAGACAGGTGAATCGCCAGGTCAAGAGATTGCAACCATGTGGCCAACATAGTGAAACCCTGCCTCTACTAAAAATACAAAAATTAGCTGGGCGTGGTGGCTCGTGCCTGTAGTCCCAGCTACTTAGGAGGCTGAGGCAGGAGAATCACTTGAACCCAGGTCAAGATTGCAGTAAGCCAAGACTGAACCACTGCACTACAGCCTGGCGACAGAGCAAGACTTGACAAAAAAAAAATAAAACTATGGATAGATACAGATCCTTTGTCAAATTTATGTCTTTCATTGTATGTTCTCACAAGAGTGTGTTTGTCTGGGTACAATGGTGCATATCTCTCATCCCAGCCACTTGGGAGACTGAGTTCTAATTCAGCTTGAGCAATAGTGAGACCCTGTCTTTTAAAAAAAAAAAAAAAAAGGATAAAGTATCATCGAAACAGCATAAGTTATTATAAAGTTTGGAGTTTATTTTACCAACCTTTTTTGTATGATTTGTGCTTTTTCCTCCCCCTACCTTTGCAAACTTTGAGGGTAGAGAGATTTTTTCCTATGTGTTTTTGAAGAAGTTGTATAGTTTTTTTTTATTCTTTCTTTTCTCTCTTTATGTTTTACACTTGTTTTTTGTTTTTTGTTTTTTTTTGAGATGGACCCTCGCTCTGTCACCCAGGCTGGAGTGCAGTGGCAGGATCTTGGTTCATTGCAACCTCTGCCTCCTGGGTTCAACCCATTCTCCTGCTTTAGCTTCCTAAGTTGCTGGGATTATAGACACGTGCTACCACGCCTGGCCAATTTTTGTATTTTTAGTAGAGACGGAGTTTCAGCATCTTGGCCAGACTAGTCTTGAACTCCAGACCTCGTGATCCACCACACTAGCCTCCCAAAGTGCTGGGATTACAGGTGTGAGCCACCACACCCAGCTTTTCTGTTTTTATTTATTTATTTATTTTTTATTTATTTATTTTTTTAAGAGTCAGGATCTCAAACTCCTTGACCTCAAACAGTCCTCCTGCCTTAGCCTCTTGTGTAGCTAGGGCTACAAGCCTTTGCTATCACATCTAGTTTTGTTTTGTTTTTTCTCATAAATACAGAGTCTCACTGTATTTCCCAGGCTGATCTCAAACTCCTGGACTCAAGCGATGCCACCATGTCCAGCCTATGATTTATAGTTTTTTCTTTTTTCATATAATAAGATTCATTTACTTTTTTCTTCTAGCATGTATATAAAATTTTTTTAAAAATTTAATCTCTTTTGTGTTTAGAATATTTAATTTTGTTTTCTTTATTTTTTTTGAGACAGAGTCTTGCTCTGTTGCCCAGGCCGGAGTGTGGTGGTGCAATCTTGGCTCACTGCAACCTCCACTTCCCCGGTTCAAGTGATTCTCCTGCCTCAGTTTCCTGAGTAGCTGGAATTACAGGCATGCGCAGTTACGCCTGGCTAATTTTAGAATTTATAAAATGTGAATCCAATTTATCTTGTTCTAAATGACTATCCAAAATGTTTTAACCAGTTTTATTACTCTGTACCTCACATACAGTAAAATGCATACCTTTTTGTGTTTGCATTTTAATGAGTTTTGACAAATATATTTGTTCATTTAGTAAGTACTTGATTTACCAGTGAAGATGGAAAGCATTGTGCCTGTTCCTCTTCTCTGTCAAACTGTACTTTATTACCGCTAGCTCCAGGTAACCAGTGATCTGCTCTGTTTTACTATAGATTAGATTTATCCTCTCTAGATTTCTTTTTAGTTTTGACTTAGGTATTTTTTTTATTGACTTAAAAAGTTTTTTTATAATGTCTTCTCATTATATTGCCCAGGCTGGTCTTGAACTCCTGAGCTCAAGTGATCCTCCTGCCTCAGCCTCACAGCATGCTTGGATTACAGATGTGAGCCACCTCGGCCAGCCCTTAGATTTTTTTTTTTTTTTAAAAAATAAATGGAATCATAACAGTATATAACAGGGGTGTTTAATCTCTTGGCTTCCGTGAGCCACGTTGGAAGAATTGTCTTGTGCCACACATGAAATATACTAACACTAATGATAGCTAATTAGCAAAACAAACAAACAAACAAAAAACCTCATGTTTTAAGAAAGTTTGTGAATTTGTGTTGGTCCACATTCAAAGCAGTCCCAGGCTGCAAATATATATATAAACAAGTTTGATATATAATTTAGTGTGTGTGTCCTAAATAGTGTAGTAATTTGAGTTTCATGTTAGTATCAGCTTATTTCTTTTTGTTTTTGAGATGGAGTCTCATTCTGTCTCCCAGAATTGGTCTGCAGTTCTCCTGCCTCAGCCTCCCAAGTAGCTGGGATTACAGGCGCACACCACCATGCCCAGCTAATTTTTTTTTTTTTTTTTTTAAAGCAGAGGTAGGGTATCACCATGTTAGCCAGGCTGGTCTCAAACTCCTGATCTCAAATGATCTACCTGCCTTCACCTCCCAAAGTGCTGGGATTACAGGGGTGATGCACTGTGCCCGGCCAGCTTATTCCTTTTTATTGCTGGGGTAGCATTTCATTTTATGATTATACCACCGTTAATTTACCCATTACTAGTCAATGGACATTTGAGTTAATGCCAGCTTTTGGCTATTATGAATGAAGCTGCTGTGAGCATTTGTGTACAAGTGTTTGTGTTTTTATTTCTTTTAGTTAAATACCTAGAATTGGAATTGCTGAGGTATGGTAAGTGCGTATTTCTTTTTTTTTTTTTTTTTAATTTATTTTTTATTTTTTTTTTTTTTTGGAGATAAAGTCTCACTCTGTTGCCCAAGCTGGAGTGCAGTGGCGTGATTTCAGCTCATGGCAACCTCCCCTCCTGGGTTCAAGCAGTTCTTCCACCTCAGCCTCCCAAGTAGCTGGGAGTACAGCCGCGCACCGCCACGTCTGGATAATTTTTTTGTATTTTTAGTAGAGACAAGGTTTCACCATGTTGGCCAGGCAGGTCTCGAACTCCTGACTGCAAGTGATCCACTGCCTCAGCCTCCCAAAGTGTTGGGATTACAGGTGTCAGCCACCACACCCAGCCTGGTAGATATATATTTCAATTAATAAGAAGCTGGCAAACTTTTCTACAGTGATTGTGTCATTTTACATTCCAACCGATCAGCTACATATTCAAGTTCCAAGTATTCTACATCCTTGCCAACACTTGGTAATGTCTTATCTTTTTAATTTCAGCAGGTCTAATGGGTATCTTATGGTATTCATTGTGATCTTAAATTTGCATTTCCCTAATGATGACTGATCAGGAGCACCTTGTTGGTGTGTTTTTGGCTGTCAGCCTTTTTTTTAGTAAATTGTTCAAATCTTTTTTCTTTCTTTCTTTTTTTTAATTATTATTATTTTGAGACAGAATCTCATTCTGTTGCCCAGGCTGTAGTGCAGTGGTGCAATCTTGGCTCACTGCAACCTCCGCCTCCCAGTTTCAAGCGATTATCCTGCCTCAGCCTCCCAAGTAGCTAGGTTTACAGGCATGCACCACCACGCCTGGCTAATTTTGTATTTTTAGGAGAGACAGGGTTTCACCGTGTTGGTCAGGCTGGTCTCGAACTCCTGACCTCAGGTGATCCATCTGCCTCAACCTCTGAAAGTGCTGGGATTACTGGCATGAGTCACCATGCCTAGCCCTTTTTTCATTTTAAATACATGTTTCTGCCTGGTTGCGGTGGCTCATGCCTATAATTCTAGCACTTTGGGAGGCCAAGGTGGATGGATCATTTGAGCCAGGAGTTTGAGGCTAGCCTGGGGAACATGACGAAAGCCTGTCTCTGCAAAAAAATAGGAAGATTCACCAGGCAGGGTAGTACATTCCTGTGGTCCCAGCTACTTGGGGGCTGATGTGGGAGAATCGCTAGAGCAAGGTTGGTGGTGCTTGAGGGGCAATGGTGGGGAGATTGAGGCTGCAGTGAGCGGAAATTTCACCACTGCACTCCAGCCTGGGCAATAGAGCCAGACCCTGTCACCCTCCCCCCGAAAACCAAAAAAAATCATGTTTCTTTCTATGAAAAGTAGTAAAGTTGTAGTAAATTATTTTAAATTATTTATATATTCTGGTTACAAGTCCTTTCTCAGTTAAAGGTATTGTGAATATTTTCTCCCAGTCTGTGATTTTTTTGAATAGGATATGATGTAAAGGTTGGGCTTCATTTTTTCCCTTATAAATGTTTACTCGGTTTCTCTGGCACCAGCCTCTGTTTTCCCTATATAAATGATCTTGGTGGCTTTGTCGTTTTTCTTTTTGAGACAAGAGTCTCGATTTTATCACCCATGCTGGAGTGCTGTATTGTAATCTCAGCTCACCTTTTTTTTAAGTAGAGATGGAGTTTCATCATGTTGACCAGGCTGGTCTCCTACTTCTGACCTGAGGTGATCTGCCCATCTCAGCCTCCCAAAGTGCTGGGATTACAGGTGTGAGCCACTGCACCCAGCCATAGTAGCTTTATTGAATTCAGTTGACTGTATATATGTATATGTGCCATCTATTTGTAAACTGTTTTGTTGTATTCTTTGTGTATATCCTATGCCAATTCTCTCTTTATTGCTGTTACTTTGTAATCAATCTTAAAGTCAGTTCATATAAGTCTCTCAGTTTTATTCTCTTCAAAATTGTTCTTACTCTGTGTTCTTTGACTTTCCAAATAAATTTTAGAATCAGCTTGGGATTGTGCACTGAATCTTTATATCAGTTCTGGGGGAAATATGTTAACAATATGGAATCTTCATTGATGTCATCATATGCTGCTTCATTTATTTTTATTTTTATTTTTATTTTTGGAGATGGAGTTTCATTCTTGTTGTTCAGGCTGGAGTGCAATGGCTCACCGCAACCTCCATCTCTCCGGTTCAAGCAATTCTGCTACCTCATTCTGCTGAGTAGCTGGGATTATAGGCATGTACCACCATGCCTGGCTAATTTTTCATATTTTAAGTAAAGATGGGATTTTTCCATGTTGGTCGGGCTGGTCTCAAACTCCTGACCTTAGGTGATCTGTGCACCTGGGTCTGACAAAGTGCTGGAATTACAGGTGTGAGCCATTGCGCCCAGCCTGCTCCATTTAAGTCTTCAGTTTCACCAGTGTTTTCTAGTTTTCTTTGTGTCAATTTGTGCCTACTTTGTTAAATTTATTTCTTAATATTTCATCTGTTTTATGCTGTTGTGAGTGATATTTAAAAAAAATTTCAACATTTGTTTATTAGTAGGTAGACATGCACTTGATTTTTGAATATTGACCTTGTGTCTTTACCCGTTGGTAAACTTACTGTTTCTGGCAGCCCTTTAATAAAGAATTTTCAGACATATACAGTCATGATCTAATCACCATGTTGGTCTTTTTGTTTTTGCCTTATTGTACTGGTGCATTACTGAATAAAAGTAATGAGATTTTGCCATGCCCCCATTCTAATAGGTGAGACATTGTCTTTCACTATTAACTCTTAAGCCGAGTTAGGTGTTACTTCAGTTCCTAATTTGCAGAGAGGTGGGTTTGTTTTCTTTTAAATCATCAATGGTTGTTGGATTATGTTCAAATACTTTTTCATGATCTATTAAGTATATCATATTGACCAGATACAGTGACTCACACCTGTAACCTCAGAGCTTTGGGAGGCCAAGGCAGGAGGATGACTTGAGGCCAGGAGTTCAAGACCAACCTTGACGATATAGGAAAACCCTGTATCTACAAAATAATTTACAATTTCGCTGGGTGTGGTGGCACACTCCTGTAGTCCTGGCTACTTGAGAGGCTAAGGAAGAAGGATTGCTTGAGCCTAGTAGTTTAAAGCTGCAGTGAGTTGCACCACTGTATTTCAGCCTGGGTGACAGAAAAAGACCCTGTATTTAAAATGTGTGTGTGTGTGTGTGTTTGTGGTTATTTTGAAGGATTGCATTGATTGATTTTTGAATGTGTGTGTGTTCTGTTATTCTGAAGGACTGCATTGATTGATTTTTGAATGTTGAATCAGCTCTGTATTCCTGGGACCCTACTTAATTATGGGATAGTATCCTTTTTATGTATTTCTGAGTTTTATTTGATATTAAGGAGACTTCTGTCTATATTCATTGTGGATAGACACCGGTCTGTAATTTTCTTTGCTTTGTAATGTTTTCCATACGGTTTTGGTGTCAAGTTAATGCTGGCCATTTTATCTTACTTATCTCAGTGACATAGAGTTCTTAATACTCCCTTATCATTTTATTGTATGCAGGGTCTTTGATGTTCTGTATTCATTTCAAGTATTGTTAATTTGTGTCTTCTTCCCTATTTTCTGCCTTGTTAAAAACTTAATTATTGTTCTTTTTGAAAGGCCAGATTTTGGTTTCATTGATTTTTCTATATTACTTTCCTTTTTCCCCTTTAGTGAATTTTGCTCTTTATTATTTCCTTTCTTGGGATTTAATTTACCCTTCTTTTTCTAATTTCTGGCTGCTTAGGTTATAGGTTTAAAAATTTTCTTTTCAAGTAGAAGCATTTAAAGCTACGTATTTCTAATTGTTTTAACTGTATTCCACAAACTGGAGATATTTCAATTTTTATTCAGTTCAGAATATCTTCTATCTTACGATTTCTTCTTTGATCAATGAGTTATTTAGAAGTTTGTTGATTTCCAAATACTTGAGTTATTGCCAAATGTATTTATTTTTTATTTTATTTATTTTTTTTACATTTTTTTTTAATAGAGATGAGGTTTCTCCATGTTGGTCAGGCTGGTCTCAAACTCCTGACCTCAGGTGATCCGCCTGCCTCGGGCCTCCCAAAGTGCTGGCATTATAGGCGTGAGCCGCTGCGCTCGGCTATTTTTCATTTTTAATGTAATTCCATTATGGTCAGAGAACAAACTAATATGAAATGCCATTTAATCATATGCCAAGTGTCCATTTGTGGTTGAATCTGTCTAGATTTTTCACTCTGCTCCTCTAATCTACTAATCGGACTACTTTCTCATACACTCACTGCCACTGTTTATTTATTTTTTTTTTTTCAGATAATCTTGAATTTTCTGTTTATGTTTCCATATGAACTCTATAATTAACTTACTACTAAAAAAATCAGTTGGCTTTTTTAAAACCCACTGATCTTTAAAATATATCTTGACTGGCCCTGGTGGTGGGCACCTGTAATCCCAGCTATTAGGCAGACTAAGGCAAAAGAATTGCTTGAACCTGGGAGGTAGAAGTTGTAGTTGAGCCGAGATCATGCCCCTGCACTCCAGCCTGGGCACAAGACTCCCTCTCAAAAAAATAAATTAATTAAAAATATATAATCTTTTTATAATTAATTTGTTTCAATTAGGGTCCAAATCAGGCTTCCAAATTGGATTT